CCAGTAAAGAATCAGAGTATTTGTTTCTAACAAGTCAATGGTTTTAGTTTTTGAGAAAAACGTTAAATGTATATTTTATATCATAAGATTGATTTATTTCATGCATAGACCATTGCAATCTCTAAGGACTTACAAGAAAAAGATGCACAATAAGCAATGCATGATAAAAATTAAAAAGGCCAGAAATCCAGAATGAAAAGCAGAATGAAACAAAATATAGGTAATCCAACCAACATGCAATCGTGGTCCTGACATCCTCCAGGACAGCTCAATTTTGAGCGGCTTCCAGAATGCAACTGGCTGCCCAAAGGAGTGGAGTCCCCAAGACAGTGCGCCACTGAGCTTCAAACACACACACACACACACACACACACACACACACAGCCCCCTATTAGTGCAGCAGCTTCTCCCAGGTAAATCAGATTGGCTGGGCCAATTCCGAGGGTAGAATTCATGGAGCGGAATCTTGTAGCTACCTTGGCCCCGAGCCACAGAAGGCTTTATAGGTAAGCACACCACTTGGGGTTTCTTTCATTCAGAAAACTACTGGCAAGCAGCATACAGTCCACAGCACCAGGGTAACATTCGCCTATCAGCAAATGCCAATTCCATTAGCATGCAAGCCATTGCACTCTGGACGAACTGCAGTCTCTGAGTCATCTTCAAAGGCAGTCCTACCCAGAGCATGCCAAAGTAGAATAGAGTAGAATGACAGAGTTGGAAGGGACCCTGGAGGTCTTCTAGTCCAACCCCCTGCTCCTTGTGTATACCATTTTACACAAATCGTTTGTCCAATCTCTTCTTAAAACTTCCAGCAATGGTGCATTCACAACTTCTGGTGGCAAGCGGTCCCACTGGTTAGCTGTTCTCATGGTTAGGAAATTCCTCCTCAATTCCAGGTTGCTTCTCTCCTTGATTAGTTTCCATCCATTGTTTCTTGTCCTGCCCTCTGGTGCTTTGGAGAATAGCTCGACTCCCTCTTCTTGGTGGCAAAGTCTAAATAGGCGGGCCAAGAGTGTGAATCACTGCAGCAAGGTCCTCCCCACTGCCTATAGTATCCCATCTGCTGCTCTAAAAGGAGGCAGGAGTTCAGAATGAAGTCACACCCGAGGTGGTGAATTCAGCAGGCTCTGACCAGTGCTGGAGAACTGGTAGCGGAACTTTTGAGTAGTTCAGAGAACCGGCAAATCCCACCTCTGGCTGGAGATTTTACAGTCTCCTTCCCCTGCCACCACGCCCACAGAAGCGGTAGTAAAAAAAATTGAATCCCACCACTGAGTCACACGCGAGCTCCTTCAGGAGTGCCGTCATCCCAGCAAGGGACACCACTGGAGCAGAGAACCGCACACAAGCACACAAAGCAGCATCTACTTAGCAATCAGCCCCCGAGCGGAATTACTGCGATACAGAGTTCTAACCGCCAAAGGGGCCCCCATAAGAATACCACATTCAAACATTGCAGAGCAGATCCAGGTCCCAGCCAATGTCCTCCACTCATGTCACCAAGGCCATCTCTCCTATATATCCAGGCTTCAGAGGAAGGTTGGAGACCAGGAGATGGTCATCTAAACACTAGTCCCTCCACCAGAAACTAAGAGAACCAAGTAAGTCCATCATCCTGGATCCTACCCTGAAGACGTGAACAAATCTGGACAACCCTGGCAGCAAAATGATCACAGCAACCAGATTTTTGATCATAGCAGCCTGTAAGAAGCTTCGGGAAGATGCCTAAGATTCCTTAGCAGAGAACTGGCCCTCCAAACACCCACCAGCATGCCAAGAGAGCAGCAATGATGCATCGACCCTCGTATCAGCACAGGGTATGCGCCCACCAAAGGTAGGCACATACTACTAATGCGTGCTCTGGTTCACCTCTTTTCTTCTCCTTGGCACTGGAGGTGCCGCTTTTGATGCTTCATTTCCACTCAGCTACCCCAAAGCTGCCACCAGCTGCCTGGATCTTCCCCACTGCTTATAAGTGAAGCTGGTTCTGTTCCCAGGGGCTGACAAGCAACAGAACCTTTTACATTACTTGTTCCTGAGACAGGATGAACAGAAAAACAAGGGAAAATTGAGGAAAGGGGCCAGAAAATTAAGGTATTAACAGAAAAAGTTGTCCCTTGTCGCTCAAAAATCTTTTCCCTTGACTCTCCTCCAAAGGGAAAAAAGATATCCTCATTCAAACGTTAGGAAGTCAACACTGTACTTGCTGCAAAGGAGATGACACTGCTGCTTCCAGGGTGATAGCTATAACTCTTGTGTCGGCTCCCATGGCTGAAAACTCCACTGTACTTGATACAGACCGAAAGCACATCAGCCTGTAGTTGAGATGCACATAACCAGAGAAATATGTGCCGACGTCCAACCCCGCCTCTTAGCCAGATCGATGGTGCAGATTACGTGGCTTTCTTTTGTTTCCCCACAACAAACTCAAGGCCCTCATCAGGGGATTTCCCATTAGTGCAAGACGGCACAGTTTACACAGCTGCCTCCCGACATTTCAGGAATGGCCCAAGGTTGGTTCCGTCCTGCCAGGTGGGCTTTGCACCCATCTTTCTAGATTTGTCATGGAACTGAGCCAGGGAGGGGAGGTCTTGGGCAGAAGAGCCCCCGTGGGACTTTCACCCCAAATGCAGGTGAATGGGGGAGACAGGCCTGTCCAGGAGAGCTGAAGTAATCCCCTCCCCATTCTGCAACAGGGAGGGGGGGGGGGAGAGAGAGAGAGAGAGAGATACCCTGCCCCGTTTTTTTAGCAAGGGGAGCTACTCAAGAAAGAAGCTGCAGCCACAGCTCCCAGGAGACAGAGCAGGGCAGTCCATAATAAGCCCACCACTGGCAAGAGCCAGCCAAATCTGGACCCCGCTCTGCCCAACTCAAATCTGCCCATCCAACAAGAGGGGTCCCCAAACTTGGCCATTTTAAGACTGGTGGACTTCAACTCCCAGAATTCTCCAGCCAGCAGAGCCTAGAACTGAGGGGGAAATTTTTCTGATAGCGAGAACAACTAATCCACAACTAATCCACGGAACAACTTTCTCCTGGAGTTGTGAGTGGCTCAACACTGGAGGTTTTTAAGAAGAGTTTGGACGGTCATTTGTCCAGAATGGTTTAGGGCAGGGGTCCCCAAAGTTGGCCACTTTAAGACTTGTGGACTTCAACTCCCCGAATTCTCCAGCCAGCATAGCTGGCAAGTTTGGAGACCTCTGGGATGGGATCTCCTGCTCCATCTCCAAAGTCCCCCCCAGCCAACTCTGTTATTCTGGGCTGAGAGTCCTTCTCCTTGGCGGTTGTCCACTTGGTGGCCTTTGCCCCTCTCCCTAAGGTCGCAGCTGCTCTTTTAAACTTGGTGAGCCAGGCGGGTCCTAAAGAGGAATCCCAACGCCTGTTTGCTGGCCCCCAAACCTGTCGCACAGGACCCACGGCAGGCAGTTTGTGCAGATCTCCAGGGCGGCCTATGTCTCCTCCCCTGGATCTTCTGGGAGTTGAAGGCCACCAGTCTTAAAGTGGCCAAGGAGGGAGAGACCTCTGAACAAGGGGAATCCAGGTCCCGAGAGCCTTCGGGACCTAAGCATCAACGGCCTCCCTTTGTGATCTCGCCCGAGGTCACACTAGCCGCACAAAGCCCTCCCGCCGCCCCCGCCCCGCCCTGGCTCTGAGCAACGCCGGGCTCTTGGGTTACTGACCAGCCCTGCCCTGGGATTAGAGCCCCGGGAGGGGGGGGCTATGGCTGGAATGCGCCCGCAGCCAATCAGGAGAGGCCGGAGGCGCCTCTCTTCGCGAAGCCGACCGAAGGGAAAACAAGGCGCAGTTTCGGAACGTTTGGATCTTTTTTTTTTTTTTCCTGGGTTTGCAACGGCGCGGCCGGCAGCGCCTGCAAGGACTCTAAACGCGGGGATGCTAACTGGAAGCGGCGGCGGAAGGTTTCGCCGTAGTATCGGCAGTTCGAGCTTTCGCGGAGGGAGCGCAGAAGGTCGGGCGAGCCCCCGAGGGAAGGCGGGGGGGTGGGGGGGCGACGTAACCCGAGAGAGCCGCTCGGTTTGCAAGGCAAGGCCAGCGGGCAACGAACCGCTCGCAACGCTG